GAACTTCCACCTGATCCACCTGACAATCTCCAAATCATAATTAATTTATCTACACCACCTGATGCTAATAATCCAGTATTACTCCATCTCACACAATTGACACAAGCTATAAATTTTATATTACTTTATTAATATAATATATTTTATATTATATTAAAAATATATTAAATTTTATCATACCAAGATGATTATCTAATTGACACAACATTTTTGGAATATTTTCATCTAATTCTGCAATTTCATTAACTACTGGTTCCATATTCCATATAACAACTCTACCAGAATCACCACCTATAATTTATAATAATAGCAAATATAAATCAAAAACTATATCAAAATAACAAAATCAATGTATTTTTACAAAAAAAATTGACAATAAGTAAATAAATTAAAAGAATTAATGTTATACCTTGACCACCAGTAGCAAATCTTTTCCCATCTGGATGTATATCCACAGAAAAGATTGAATATCCTAAAGAATAAAAATTTTATAATATGAAAATACAATTGTAAACATTAGATAAATTCAAAGAATATATTTTATACAAACCATCGTGGGTAACCCAATTAGGTTTTACTAGTTTCATAATGTTTAATTTCTTGAAATTTTGTCAATTCAATGATTATTTTCCATAATTAAATACACAATATTTAATTGAAATTTTTATTTCATTTGAACATAATACTTTGTTAAGTAGTATAACCTTAAATTAAAATACAAACACAACATATACATATTCTACTACCGGCAATATATTTTGGTGAATTTCTATGAACACATTGTTATATAAAATTATATATAATAATCATATAATATTATATTTTTTATTATAATTTTTTTTACTTACACAAAATTATTTATTTTATATAATTTAAAAAATTATTGTGTTATAAATATAAATGTAATATTGTCATAGCAAAATATATATATATGTATAATAATGTTATAATATTATAGATAATATTATATAATATATTTAAAAAGTCACATTTTAATTATGTAAATATAAATAACATGTATATAATGAATTTTAAAATCTTATACTAATGATCTGTCCTCATATATATATATATATTTTTTTAAAAGATTAATTTTTTAATATAAATTTTAATTAAATAAATTCAAATATTTTTTTTTAATAAGAGTTAATAATTATGGAATATATTATTATAATAATATATTCAATTATTACAATTTTCTTTTTTCAACTTAATTTTTTAATAAATTATATATATTTCTTAAAGTTTTAGTAAATATATAAGAATAATTAAATTTTGTTTTAAATAAACTATAAAAATGTATTTCTTTACATACATATTGGTAAATAGCCAATTTTACAATATAATTCTACAATAGTTTTCAATTTTTACAACTATTTATTATCACATTTTTTATTATTAATATTAGGACTTGGTGTACGATTGCTTACTTTCAGTAATTTTTTATAACGTTCAACTAGATCCCCAATAGAACGTCTATTTTGTTTAGTTTGGTCAGTTACAATGATATTATTATCATCACCTATAATTTCTATTGTTTTATACATATTATGTGCATTAGCTTTATTTGAGAAGTCATTTATCATATCTTCCATTTCTAGTATATCTTCTGATTTTTCTTGTTCAACAGTTAATTTTTCTGGAGTAGCAAATTCTACCTTTATATTACAGATACTTTTTGTTGAAATGACTTCTGCTTTATTTAAACTAAGATCTGATATATCATGTATTTCTTCAATTGCATTTACAATTGTGGTTGAATTTGCTTTTGAAGAACAAGATAAAGATATATTTGCTGCTGTTGCTGTGAGAAAAAAAAGAAGTCTTCAATTTCCAAAAAAAATTAAATATTAATTACATACCTATCGTATTATTTCGTTTTATACGAGTAGAAAATAATCGTGAATATTTTTCTGCTTGTTTGAAAGATGACAAATTTTTTTTAGATGATACCATATGCATATGTAAAGGTGGCTTATCATTATTTATATTTACAATTACATCATCAAAATTGATTCGTGATACTAATAAATTTTCTCTTAATTTTGATTCATCATGATTTTGTTTTAGATGTTCATATCTTGAAAATAATGATTTATGTGGAGCTAAAAAAATTTTTTAAAATATTATTCAATATATATATATATATATATATATATATATATATATATATAACTA